CCGGAGAGAACGAGAAAGAACACGACAAAGAGGAAGAGAGAATACACATGACAATGAGGAAGAAAGTCGTTATGTACATTGATTAAGATAGAACGAGTGCTTATATCGGCACACCCCCCCATTCAGGCGAGACGCACTCCTGGGCGTCTGTTTTTTCAATGGGCGTATGTTTTGAGAGAAAGAGAAAAGAAAAAATAAACATATGAGAGAGGAACACGTATCCGTGCTAAACAGGTAGAAACTTAGAGAACGACAACAATTAGTTGAAGAGAGCCTTCACGCAGAGATCAGAAAATGTAAAACGAACGTTGTTTTTTTTTTTTTTTTTTTTTTTTTTTTTTTTTTTAATTTTTTTTTTTTTTTTTTTTTTTTTTTTTTTTTTTTTTTTTCATGAGATTATTTTATGTACATAGTTGTATTAGGGTACCGCTGAACTATATATTTCCAGGTTTTCACGGTTGTTGTTGTCTCTTCCATGAACAGTTCAGCTGTTGTTTAAATGTTTAAGCGTATTTATATTTGCGGCATTATAATCATTTTCGTTGTTGATGTCTTTCTAATTTTGCTTATTAATCGCATGTACAAAATAATTAGAGTAATTGCTATTATCCCAAGTGACAACAACCCTATTGCTAGTCCATGTTGATACCATGCTGTTGATGAGACTATGGTGGTTGGTGTCGTTGTTATTAAATATTCAATCATATTTTTTATATTGCCTGGTATATATGGTATTTTTTCCCATCGAGTGTCATTACTCATAGCTTTTTGTAAATCAATGAGAATCGAATCGTCGAAGTTCAGTTTTTTGTTCTCAATAATTGTGATGAATTTGTTGGTGCCATTTGTAATGCTTGGTAAGAAGAAATTATCACAGCTCCATGCTGTTGATTTGTCTATGGTGATCAATGCAATTGGTGGGATGGTTAATTCATTATTTGCTGTTATCGCATGTTCGCCTTGTTCCAGCTGTGTGACACGATGACATTTTGTTTCATTTATTGTTGATATTGCCCATTGTTGACCGACTCTTTGTATAAATATTGGTTCTAGTTCATGTTCAATACGGCATAATGTTAAATTTGAGTCAGTTAATATTTCGAATAAGCAGGTCTGTTTCCAATTTTTTTTAATTGGTGGTGTTTCTCGACATGAGGACATTGATGTAAATTTACATGTATTGCTTTCTTCTTTCGTCCATTGTATTAATTCCATTGTTTTTGTTGAGATACCAATAATGTAAGGTATCTGTGCCAGTTTTAATCTTTGTTGTCCTTGATTAAATGGAATTGGCGTCAATTGGTAGGTTGAGAATGATTGTTGATTTTTATTTGCCGTAGCAAAGAATGATATAAATAATAGATTACCGATAGCGCCGCCAGCTGTTTGTTCCTTTGTATTGATTGGAACGAATTCAATTCGTTGTTGTATCAATAATCGATTAATCAGTTCGAATGTTGGCAGTGAATCATCTGTTTCTTCCATATCTATATTTACTTGTTTTGTAATCATTTTTATCACTCGGGGTAAATCGTAGTGATGGATAAATCGGAGGTTGAGTTTATTTGCCAAAATATCTTCGATAGACTCGTGAATAAAGTGAGTTTCTACCGCGTGAGTAAATGATGTTAGTTCTTTTTTGAGCATCATGACCATTGACACTAGTGTATTAATAGCTACTCGGTGTTGTTTAAGCACATTAGAATGCTCATTCACCAAAACAATTGTATTATTCAGGGCGGTTTGCGTGTGAATTAGTTCTTCCACAATTGTAATTTGGCCCTTGGTTAATTGGAACAATTGACTATGGTGACTGTTGACTGCATTTTGTATTGCATCAATGGACGTTCTTATTGATTTTATCTCCTTTTGAAGATTATGTATTTGTATTGTGTTGCTGGTTGCTAGCATTGTTGCTGCCGTTCCCATGGCGATTGAGATAATATTCATGATGAATCTTTTATTACGCTTGTTTGATGTATCATTTTTTCCTTCCTGTTGTTGTTTTATGTTTGTGTTGCATTGTGGTATTTTTATCATCGCTTTCCGCGGTATAAGGTAGCACATGTCGCCCACCATAGGTATGGATACCGTAATAGATGTTATGTCGTTCGCTGGCTTGTATTCTGATATGTATTTCATTATAAGACCAGATGGTTTATGCAGCACATCCCTTTTCGGTAGAAGGATTATCGTTGTTGTGACTAATTGTGTCATGAATATTATTATTAGGATACACATTGTAAAATTTGGTTTCATTTGAAGGGTTGAAAATTGAGGAAGTGAAACTTCACGTTTGT